AAAATCAAACACAAGATCAGAGACAAAAAATAAATAAATAAATAAAGAGTTAATTTAGCCACAAAAAGATAAAGCCTCCGTTTGGGAAGTGGGTTGGCTTTTTAGCTTTTTGGCTTTTTGGCTTTTTTGGCTATTTTAGCCTGGGCTAAAAAGCTTGGTTTGGGAAGGGCTTTTTGGCTTTTTGGCTTTTTTAACTTTTTTTGTGAGAGAAGAGTGTAATGATTATGGGTTGGATGTGATGTTTTGTTTGTTATGGCTAAAATAGCCTATTTTGTCTTTTGTGGCTAAAATAGCCAAAAAAGCCCATAAACTTACTTCCCAAACGGTGCCAAAATATGTTAAAAAAGATAAAATGTCACATTCAAATCATAATCATTTTATTTTTTCTTTCACAAAAATTAAAAAATTCAACTCAAATGAACTTTTTAATCCCAAGCTGATAGTCAAAAAACTAAAAAATCAATCCACCTCCCAAACGAAGCCTTTCCCATCAGTCTGAATATCATTTAATTTAATGACACCTCATTTTTTATGGCATTTTTTTACTTATGAGATGATTAAGTGGTGTTTTGGAAAGCTAGTAAAAAATTAATTCCTTTGACTTTTTTTTACTTTCTTTTACTTTTTTATGTTAAAAAAAAGTAGGAAGATAATCTGACTCAAAAAAATCAAAAAATTAAAAAATTGACTTTTTACTATGTTGTCCAAACGCTCCTACGTAGATACCAATCGTATTTATTATGGCTGTCCCCATTATAAGAAAAAATATGATGGTATGTTTGGTTTGTGTTTGAGAGATGTGTTTTAGAGATAAAAAGTACGAAAACATGTTTGGTTTGGTTTTTTTTAAAAGATGTTTTGGAAAATTATTTTGAGATAGAGTTTTGGAAAAAGTGATTGATTTGATATGTGTGAGAGAGAGATTTGTTTGGAAAACTTGTTTGGTTTACAAGTTTTGAGAAATTTTTTTGAGAAAATTTGTTTGGTTTGATTATTTTTGAAAACTTATTTGTAGAGAAAATTTCCCAAATTTTTTTCAGAAAATCAAACCAAACGAGCCCGATATCTTCATCACTACTCTTTTGTCTAAAGATGGTCTCCAGTTCTTTGTTCAGTTTTTTTATGCGGTCTGTTTATAGGACTTATACTGATGATCTGTTTTATTTATTTATTTAATATTAATGTATAAATTATTTATATAAAAAATTAATTCAATTATTTTAAGTATATATATAATTATAATTATTAAATTGATTTAATTTAATTTAATTTAATTTAATTTATTTTTTTTTATACATAACTTACCATCAAAATAAATCTGATAGCGGGCTAACAATAAGGAACTGAATAGTCAGCCTATTTCTACTCTTTTACCTTTATACTCTATTAATTCTTCTTCATTTAATGACCAATTAATAAGGAATTGAACACTCAACCACTTTGATACTGTTTGGTGTACTTTTGAGGGAAACTATTTTATGTAACGAGTGAGATTAGGGGTGGGTATCAGTATGTCGGTTCGTCCAGTTGGTCCGGGTCAATCTTATTTTTTTAAAATTTGGAAAAGATTTTTAATTTATAGGGACGGATTCGGCTAACATTTTCAGCTTGATATATTAATAGATTTGATTTGAAATTTATACTTTTGATCCAGTCCGGCCCGACTTGCTATTAAACTAATTATAATATATTAAAATATATTTTTTGTTAGGATCTAGACTTTATCTTTGTTAATTTTATTAAAATTCACATTTGTGGTGATATTTGATTGAATTTATTTAAGAAATTTTTTAATTTATAATGATGTCAGTATATATATTAAAAAATATAATGTGTGATTGAATTTAATTATAAAATGTTTTAATTTTTTTTTAACATATAGCCTGATAAGGGTATTTGGGATTTATAATTATTTTTTGGGCCAAGTTTGAACAAAAACAGGGACCCAATGTTAGGGCTAGATCGGGCTAGGACAAATATAAATGTAATCTCGGTCTAACCCCAAGCCCGGCTTGACCCGACAAATGCCCACCCTAAGTAAGATGATACGGTGTATTTTCCAATCATTACTTACCAAGTAATTAAAATAAAATAAGGCTTAAAAAATAACTGTTCGTTTGACCTTAAATGTTCGGCTACATCAAACATCGGTCTTACTTTTTACTAATTGGTGAATGAAAGGGTGACATTACATCATCTCGGTCACGTAGAATGCCCGTTACATGCATTTTTGTACAAAAAAAATGATTTACAAACATAATTTGTATACATAAAATGCATCATGTGACAATAGCATGTTTGTAATTATGAATCATAATAGTGGGTGTTTTGATTAAAAAGAGTATTATTATACAAGTCCAAAAATTAGATTCAATTTTCATGCTTAGTGATGTGGCAATTAATTAAAATAACACTTTTTCTCATATCTTTTTAAATTATTAACCAATCATATCACTTATATATTATTGATTCTACAAAATAAGTTGACAAAGTAAATCATTTTCTAAAATAAAAAGACACAGACAACCATGCCATTCCAATATGAAATTTTCTATATAAAATTTTTGTTTGTATAGTATCATCCTAAATTTTTTTGTCACGTATTAAACAAACTAAACCTTTGTTTGACATAAGTTAAAATGAGGTTTTTTTGTTAAAATAGTCACAAAAAGACAAAATAAATTTTTTAGCCTAATAAGATAAAATGTTACATCTAAATCATAATCATTTTATTTTTTCTCTCACAAAAGTTAAAAAAATTAAAAAGTCTATCTCAAACGAGACTTTTGAACTCCATACTAAAATAACTAAGCCTCCGTTTGGGAAGTGGGTTGCCTTTTTGACTTTTTGGCTATTTTAGCCTGGGGCTAAAAAGTCTAGTTTGGAAAAGGCTTTTTGACTTTTTTGGCTTTTTGACTTTTTGGTGAGGTGTCTTCCTATTAATTTACCAAAGTGCCCTTTGAGCCACGTATATCTGTAATTTTGCAAAGTCCACATCAGCTTCCGAGAAGGTCCGAAATTGTTGGTTTATATTTTTGCCATATTTATTTTTATTTATTGTTTTATACATTAATTATTTATTTTTTGCCTTATTTATTTTTATTTTTATTGCCTTATTTAATTACGTGGCGAATGGTAATTTATGTTTTCATGTTTCGTTTTTAAAAAAAAATTCAATGAAGCATATTTTTGTCGTTATGTTTTTTTAATTTACGATTTTGGCATTTTTTTATTAACCCATATTAATTTATTTTTATATTTCAAAAATGGATTTTCATTTGTTTTATTTATTTGTAAATAATGTAAATAATCTAAAAAATTTAAATTAAATATTCAAAAAATATTTCAATTGTAAAAATTTAATCAATTTAAATATTCAAAAAATTATTTTAACAACAAAATTTAAATAATTTAAATATTCAAAAATTTTAAATAATTTTAAATGTTAATATTTTAAATTTAAAAACAACTCTACACTCAAGTCGTAAGCAAACACATAAAATAAAACTCAATTAATAAATTATTGAGTTAACTCATAACCAAACACATAACTCGAAATTCCATACTACTTTCACAACTCTACACTTAAATCATAACCAAATACATAACAAACAAAAAAAAATTTTTTTTTTTATAAAATATAGTTTAAATTTATTTTCATAAAATATTTTAACAAAAAACAAAAAAAATGTTTTTAATTTTTTTTCAACTTTCTTTATTTTTCCTGGCAAAAAGCCTGATTTGAATTTTTTTTTTTTTTTTTTACTTTGTGTGGGCTGGCGTCGCCCCTCTTTCATGTGGGGGTAATATGGTAAATTTACCTATAAAATTGTTGCAGCCATACTCCTGTCATGCTTTTGTCCGGATGTGGCTAAATTAGCCACTTTTGTCATTTAGTGGCTAATTTAGCCTGAACCAACTTGCCAAACACAGGCTAAAAAGTAAAAAAAACCAACCCACATCCTAAACGAACCCTAATAAAATTTACAAATTCTTTTTTTTAGTCATGGCACCTATCACATTATTACTACTAAGTGGTAACAACAATCAAATTATATACTTATATTATTTTTATATCACATTTTTACGTTCTAAATTAATGTGACTCGTTCAAATTTAATTTGAATTCAATGCCGACCTATCTTTCCTTTCTAAATCATTCAACACACCTTATCATTCATAAATTTGTAAATTTAGTACAAAAATATGATCATCTTCACTTTGTGATTCATTTGTAAAATATTAGGGATTAAGAGGGTGACAACAGGTTTTACATGGCATTACCCTCTCAGCACTTAATAATTTTTACAATATAGGTGACCTAATTTTTTAGGAAGAATTTAGGCTCTCTTCATTACATTATTATAATCGAGATTTTTACTAAAATATATAAGATTATGTCATACCATTACTAAAATCAATAATCTATAAATATTATGTCATTTAGAATATTAAAATCTTCCTTTGTTATTTTTAAATTGAATAATACTACAAATACTAATTACAAATGAAAATATATTGAAATAACTCTTTCGCAATTATTGATGATGTACTGACAACTTCTATTACAATTTACAATTTACAATTGAGTGATGCTATATGAATAGAAAAAAAAATACAAAAATTATACTATTAATTGCATAAATGCATTTGTCACCATTTTCTGTAAAAAGAACTTTTTTTCCATTATAATTATATAATTGATAAGACTAAAAAGGAGGATTAGTAATGTCATCAATTTTAAATTGAAATTTACACTTTACTTTTAGATTAGTTTGTTTTGATATAAAATATTTTTTTAAATATTTTATGCTCTTTTTTTTTGGATACAAAATCATAAAATATTTACATCAAACAAAACCTTAATCTTTTATCAAATTAATTTCAATTATAATATGTTTTAGTACAAAATCTCATCCAAAAATGAAATTTTCAAACTATGTTAATCATACACTTGGTTGATCTATGAACAAAACTATTTTTTTGTGGAGGCTGCAACATTGCTCAAATAAAAATATTATTAGAGTATATAATGTGTATGAGAAACAATTTTACAACTTAAAACTCAACTTGAAATTTCACCAAAAGTAAAATCCCATATATAAATTTAGAAATTAAATTAAAAAACAAAAAAAACACAAACATCTCCAAATTAACAGAAAGTTATACACCACCACCACCACCACTACTACTTAGTTTTTTAGCTCCTCTTGTTCTTGCTACCCAACAGCAAAGAGAAGTAAAACAGAATCCTAAAAAAGAACCCCCAAGCAATAGTAACCCACAAGCAATTCCACTTACTCAAATCAGTAATCCCCTGTTGCTGGAGTATATCTGTTCCCGTGGTCAAGCATGTCCCGCTCGAAAGATTCATCCCCAAAGTAGCGCTCATGCTATCCAACAGCTTCAACTTCAATGCAGTTGGAACTTGACCAAGCGGTGTGTTATCAAAGATCTGAACCCCTTTGACGAAACACTTTGTTGGGTCTTGAAATTCATTTTGCAACACAGCTTCGTATGGGTATTTCACGAGTGAAATGTAATGGAACCAAATCCAGTAAGGTGGGATTCGATCTCTGTTGATGAAGAAGCCGCTGAAGAGAAGGAAGTAGGCTAAGATTGCGACGACGATAGTGTAGCCGAGCATGACGTGTGGGACTACGCCAGAGAGGAAGGTAACGAAGGAGCTTCCAGCCCAGAAGGAAGCGAAGATGATGAGGAAGTAGAAGAAGAACCCTGAGAGTCCACCGTCGAGCCCTACCGCCCAAAAGGTTAAGGCGGCGAAACCCATAGAGAGGAAAACCAAAGCAGGCAATGCTGTGAGCGAGTGCGAGAGAACGTAACTAGACCTTCGGTACGCATTGTAAGCGGTTTCTCTCATGAATATGTAGCGTTCTTGGAGGAAGACTGGTAAGGCATCGGCACAAGTATAGAATGTTGTTGACATAGCGAAAGCAAAGAACCCGAGGCGTTCCTGAACACCTTTGGGGGAACTATCAAGGCGCCAGAACATTGTGGCTAAAATAAATCCCGTGACCATAACAGCACCGAGTCGAATGCCAAAGAGTTCTGGCATTCGACGCGAGTTTGTTATGGCACGTTTGGATAGTACCGCCATTTCTACCCAGAGAGGGTTTGCGAAGGTAGGAACCATAGAAGTTGGACTAGCATTGGTGTTAGTAGCACCGGAGACGAGCTTTCCTCGTGAAATGCTCGCACTGATTGCTTCTTTCAATGTCAAACCATGTGTTGGTGTGTCTGGGGCTCGAGAACGCTTCAAGCTCTGCCATGACTTGTTGAATTCGACTAAGCTTTTGGTTCCTCCAGGCGATCCTTCGAGTTCGCGTATCAGATCGAGCGCAAACTCGGTTCGATTCTCGGTTTCTGGAATCGGATGCCCGAAATCAGCGAAGAAAACTGGGAGATTCATCGGTGAACCACTGTAAACGGTTTGTCCGCGTGATAAGAAGATCAATCGATCGAGCAAACCGAGGATTCGATAGCTTGGTTGGTGAACCGACATGATTACAATGCTTCCACTCTGTGCGATTCGTTGTAAAACCTTGACGACCATAAAAGCACTGGTTGAGTCGAGCCCCGAGGTAGGCTCGTCGAGGAAGAGAATGATTGGATCGTGAATTATGTCGATTCCGATTGAAACACGGCGGCGTTCTCCGCCGGAGACTCCACGGTGGCCTTCGTCTCCGATGATGGTTTTGGCGGCGTTTCGGAGCCCTAGTTGATCGATTAGGGCTTGGACTCGCATCTTCTTCTTAGATTTGGAGAGAGTTCGAGGGAGTCTGAACTCTGCTGAGAACATGAGAGTCTCTTCGACTGTGAGCATAGGAAACAACAAATCGTCTTGCATTACATAAGCAGAAATCACTTTCAGAAGCCTCGATTCCAAATGCTCACCGTTGAGAGTCACTGTTCCTTTCAAGCTTCCTTTAGCGATTCGGTTCGCTAGAGCGTCGATCAGAGTCGACTTTCCCGAACCACTCGCTCCGAGCACCGCCATGATTTCACCGTCACGAGCAACTCCAGAGATGTCATTTAATAACACCTTGGTCTTCCTGAACACATTTTCTCCGGCGACTGGCTCCGCCGTGACCGGCGGTCCGTGGTTGCTCCGGCCGCCGAGGAAGGAAGGGAGAGCGAGTTTGCGGCGGATTTTGACGCTGTAGGTGAGGTTGTTGAAGGAGAGAGCGAAAGGAAGAGAGCGAGGCTCCAGGCTGGTGTCGCTCAAGTCCAGGACCTGGTGAACCGGAGTCTCGTCTCCGGTGACCTCCTTCCGAACGTCGCCGACGGACTTCAGGAGCTGGCCTAGCGTCGGTGACGCCCCTGTTACGGCGGCGCTTGAGAGTTCTATCGACTGATTTCTCTGGAAAAACGACAATCTATCTCTCGCCGGAGAGGTGTTCTCCGCCACCACACGAGACATTTGTTGATATCTCGACTTTTTAGAGAGAGAAAGTTGAAGCACCGACTGAGAGTACAGAGCGAAAGCGAGAGCTATATATATCTATATGGTTTTAGAGAGAGAAAGTGAGGTTTTGCATGAGGCCGATTCTCGGGAATTCGCTAGAGTGCGCCGGGGCGGGTATCGGGGTGTCCTTCTCTTTCTTTCTCTATCCCCGTGTTTTTTCGGAACGAAGCTGAAAATATTTAGGTCAGATGTTGTGGAACTTCTAATCTCTGTTTTGTTTCAAACTCAAACCCCACCCTTTAAATACAAATCGGGTTTTGGGTTTTTTTAAATATATAGAAAATTGATGTAGGAATTGAATATGTACATACATGATATAAAAGTATGTGTATTCTTTTCTCTCTCTAACAAATGGGGTTAAATTGGAAATGGAGGTGAGAGAGAGAGAGGTGACCTACACTTCCTAATCTGTTTGCTACACGTCTTGCTTATTTGGGGATGCAAGGAAAAGACACGTGGATGGTTGAGATTGAGTTAATGTGACACGTGGCAATGTGGTTTTTTTTTGGGGGGTCATGGTATTTCCATTGGGCGGTTTGATAAATTTAGGTGGGGATGGTAAGCTACTGTTTGTCAAAAGCTGTGGATTGGTCCAAAGTGAAAAAAAAATTTTGGGCGTAAGCAGTAATAGACTGAAATCAATTGTATACCTCATTGATTAGGAAAAGAGTAAGGTTAGAGATTTTAAAAATTTTATTAAATATTTTATATGAGTGTAAGATTCATATAATGTGGGTTTTATGTGGGTCTCATACTTATATGAGATATTTGATAAATTTTTTAGTAAAATTTTTAAAATCTCTAACATTTTTGTTAGAGAAAGTGTGAAAAGATTTGAATTTGGGAACACAGGTAAATTAGTAGATTAATAATACAATCCTTTTTTGAAAACATATGGGCGGCGGCCCGTAGACTGTTAGAAGCCTGTTCACGGTTTGAGACAAGCCCGGTCCAGCTAGATTCAGGTTTGAGTTGTCATTTTGAAAGTCGGATCATGAACCTAGCTTGTCTGGCTTGACCTATCAGTCCACTCCAGGCCTACTCAAAACCCGGTCCGCTAGAGGCCCAATGTCATTTTTGGTGAAAAAGAATAAAATTTTGGTGAAAAAAATAAAAAATAAAAATAAAAATAATTTGTTCAAGCCCAACTCGTCCAACGTCCGAATATCCCCTAGACCTAGACCTAGGTCTAATTTTTTGACCCATAGACAGGCCCAATCCAAATTTTGGCAAAAACCCACACTGGCCGACATGGACTGCCCCAAATCCAGACTCGAATGAGCCGAACCAAATTTACACCCGCAGCTAAGAGCAAATAACACCCAAAGACGTTTGTTTATATTTAAATATTAGTTTTTACATTGTATTTTTTTTATTTAACATTCAATTATTTAATAGGCCTTTGAGATAATAATAATTTAAGTAATGTTATATAAACAAAAAATTTATAATGTGATTTATTGTAAATCTTTCACTTCAAAATAAAACATCACAGAAAATGAATTTATTTACAATAATGACAATATCACATCATTTTTGTCAAATTTTTTTTGTATGAATTCTATGTAGAGATGGGCATAGGGTTATCCGAACCACCCAACCCGCCCAACCCGAACCGATCTGATCCGCATATAAATAGCCGGTTTCGCAAACATAATGTGTGCAAATACGGTTTGAAATATGACATTATTATGAGTTGTGGGTTTTACCCGCACACGCAAGAATCCATCCGCACTTAGATTTTTTTTTTTTTTTCTAAACCTAGACCATTGATTTTATTCATCATATCCTAGATATTTTTGCCCAACAATCCAAACCCTAATCATGGATATGATTCATAATGGAGTTTGCAAGTTTACATATGTTTTTATTTTATTTAATGGGTTTGAATTGGATGAAGTTTGATAACAATTTATTATTATTTTATTATAACATTTTGGATGAATATAAAAGTTAATAAAGAATTACTTTTAGGTAAGTTTAAGATTTTGAATGATTTTACTTTAATTGTATTGTTGGATAGTAAATGATTTTGATGATTTAATTTAGAATTTAAAAAGATGTGCATGTGTTAGTTTATGATTTTATTTAAAAGTTTAGAATTTTGAATGATTTGCTTGTGTTAGGAATTGATTTTGTTGTGTTTTTAATTTTAGAAGTTTTAATTCATTAATTATTAATGTTGAGCATTTTAGAAAATGGTGGAAAGGCCCCTAAATAAATATTTACGAAATGGAAAAAAATGTCCAAAAATAAATTTTTAAAGAAAAAAATCCAATCTGTAAACTGCCTGCAACCTCTCGCATATCGGCAAACCCTATATGCACAAATCACAACTCACACTATAAGCAGTTGTGGGTTCAATTTTTCTCAAATCACACACAACAGGTCCAAACTATAAACCGAACTGTCTAAAATCGAACCGTGAGCACTTCTAATTTTATATATGTTTAGAATTTTCCTAATAATTTTTCTACAAAAGCTTTTGAAAAACATCAACGATAAAATTTTGAGGTCTTCAAAAATTTGGGTCAATGGGCCAACCCTAAAGTTTGGATCAAATTTAACGCAAAATTTTTAAAAAAATAAAAATAAAAATAAAAAGAGAGAGAAAAAAGAACGATTTATTCTCAAAATTATATTTATTATTTAATTTTGTACAATAAATGTGATTCAAAAATATTTCAGAATTATTCTCACACAAAAATAAAACAATTAGTGTTTTTAAATTTTTATTACTTTTTAGAAAAAAACATAAAACAATAAATAAATAAATAAAAACATTACCAAAAAGAGCCAAACTGATGTTTCTTTGTTGTCAATTCTGTTTCTAAATTAAAAGGTTAGTATGCACTTGGAAAATAATGAAGTATTATAAATTCATTTTTAATTGGGCTGGTGAATGTATTTTTTTATTTAAATTCATTTGTTAATTAATAGTTTAATAATACAATCCTTTTTTGAATCTGATGATAGCCTACACAATGGTGTATAATTTATTTTTAGTAATAAAAAATCAAAAAAAAAAATCATTTTATAAATAGCATTTTTCCAAAACTTTAAGTAGCTAGTTGGCATTTTCAAAATTTATTGTAAGAAATAAGAATAAAAATAAAAATTTTTAATGCCACAGTTTGTCAATCCAACCAAACAAGAGAACGCATTTGGAACACAATGAAAAATTTTAATGCCACACTTTGCTAATAGAGACACTCAAGGAGATTTGATGGTTTGGGGTTGAAATTTAAAATTTGTCTAAAATACACTTTGAAGAATCTTATAAAACTTAATTAAAATCTTCTAGATATTTAAACTTACCACTATTAATTTCTAGTTAAGGAAAGAATATTCTCATATGAATTTAGCTTTTCTCAAATTATCATATCAATTTGAGTGAGCATTTAGGCATAGTAGACCTTTTTTTAACCGATTTCAGTGATCCGAATCGTTCATTTTTTTGGACTCATTGAATAGAATATTCATGTAAAAAATCAAGATAATTGAATATCGGTAAGTATATGTTTAAATCATATATGTTTTAAATAATGAACAACAAATATAATTTTGAAGAATACCTATTTATTTTTTATAATACAAATTTGATTCAAACATATAGGTATTGATATCAGATAATCTTAATTTTCACATGAATATTCTACTCAATGAGTTCTAAAAAGTAAACGATTTGGATAATCGAAATGAAACTTGTGACGTTAAGATGTAAATATGAAAGAAGTTTTTAATCCTTATCATATAATGTCTTTAATTAGTTTAAATTGTGAGATATATCATTTTCTTTATTTATATTAGTATTTAAGAGATAACATAGGTATAATTTTTTGTGATTAATAAAAAGTATCATATTATATATTGACACATCGTAATCTATATGCACTTAATAATTTTCTACTGTGAGTTGTTATCACTCAATGGCCTTGTTTGGTAGAGCTGTGGGAAAGTACTTATAACTTTTGCCTTAACAGTTTATAGCTTATAACTATGAAAATAAGTTGATTTCTGACTTATAAATTAAGCATCTCCTGCCCCACTCAAAGAATAAGTTGATTTCCGACTTACAAAAAGCTATAAGCTGCATTATTAAGGTAAACCAAACACATCAAAATAACTTAAAATAAATTGAAAGCTGAAATAAATAACTTTTAAACTGCACCAAACAGGCACAATGAATGCTATCAGTTTAAGTGCATTCACACAATAAACATGTAATCATTAGATATTCCCGTGAAGAAATATGTTGGGCAGGTACATCTACATCTCTTACAATCAACACAATCCTCAATTCTTAGTAGAAGCGATTTGAATAAAGTTTTATAGTAAGAACCATATTTGATGTTTTTTAAGATAAGTTTATACTCTCTCCATTTTAGAATATTAATTCTTTATTTCATTTTTTATTATTTTAAAATATTAATTTATTTTTAAAAATTAAGACTAAAATAATATAAATTTTCTATTTTGTCTTACTTTTAAATTCATTAATAACATAAAAAATACAATTATAGCAATTGATATTTCCAAAAAAATATAGGGGCACTTACCAATCAGTCTTATTAACTAGACTTGTTTACCTATAAGTCCTAACTGATAAATTTATCACTATAAAAACAAGAGACTGATAAATTTATCAATAGGACTTAATAATGGGTAATAAGTCTCAAAAGTAAGACCTATTGGTAATTTACCCAAAAATATACTATTAAAGAGTAATTTTGAGAAATTAATATTTTTAAAATGTAATAATTGTACTCTCAAAAAAAATTAATTTTTTTCAAAAATGACTAATATTTTGGGATGAAATTAGTACTTCTTTTGGAATGGAATCATCAATGATTTAAAACAGATTGATAGATTGGACAATAAATATATTTTTTCTTCTTTTCATTTCCTACATAATGGTCCAAACCAATGAAGTAGTGGAAAATCTTACGGGTAAGAAATGATGGTTCACCTTTGCTAGATAGTTTGAAAATAAAAGATAGCTTAGCATTTGGATTATGAATTTAAGCAGGAATTTTTTATAAAAAAAATGAATAAGTAAAGACAACATGAATAAAATATAAACTACATTTTTTCTCTATTTTTTTTTCCTTTTCAATTTTTTTGCATTATGAGAAAAAAGCACAATGTAATTTGTATCATTTCTTAAGACCCTTTCAATTAAACCTAATTATAGTATGGTTCATCTACCAAATCTACTAAATAGGGCTTTTTGTTTGGTAACCATTACCAATTTTCTCCTAAATGGGGCTTGTTTGATGATGTATT